AAAAAAAAAAAAAGAAAAAAGAAAAATATTTGCCTGTAATGCAGAAATTGAGACACAAACTACAAAATTGAGACTTTTCTAAAACTTTGAGAAAGAATGATATAATTTTGTGCTTACTCAAATTTCTGACCTAGGAATTGTACTTGATATTGGAAGAAAAAGCATCCTGCTGGGGATGTGTGCTTCTCTTACCTTCACAGGCGGCAGTTTTTTAAAATAAATGTTATTGGCTAACTCAACAAGTAGATGACATCAGAATGGTGGGCACCTGAGAAGAGAGAGACATTCTCTAAAAAAAGTTATGATGGAGCCAGGGCAGGAAGATGGACCAGCTAATAAAGGGCAGTAACAGGCTATTTCTTCTGTGCTATCCTTCCTGAGTCTGTTTTCATTGCAGAGAGGCAAATCCAATGGGAAACAAGTCAACACATATTAGTTATTTTATATGTATGCTACATATGTATTTTATAGTATGTTATGTACATAGTACATTTTGATAAAAAGTCACTTCTCATTTATGTTCATTTCTATCTAAATTTTTAATATTCTGTTTAACAATATGGCTTACGTAAATATTTTGAGATGTTTGCTTTCTGAGAAATTTTTTGTTATCAGTTTGGACATGTGTAAATATATATTTATATACCCAAATATTTAAATATATAAATACTTACTATGTAAATTAGAATTCTAAGATACTGTCAAAAGTGCTGATGGCAATTCACCTTATGTGAAAATAAAATAGTGATTTTACATTTATTATCCCTAGTGAAAGTCTCCAACGGAAAGACTTTTTTTTTTAAATTTTTTTTAAATAAAGACGGGGTTTCACCATGCTGGTCAGGCTGGTCTTGAACTCCCGACCTCAGGTGATCTGCCCGCCTTGGCCTCCAAAGTGCTTGGATTACAGGCATGAGACACCGCACCCCGCCCAGAAAGGTTATTTTATCAAAAGTCTGTCTACTTTCCTTTGCACTCAGTTCTTACTCAGATTTGACTCTAACAGTGTATTTCAAAATCTTGTCTGGGAAGGCTTTCTATGTTCTTTTTAAAGTCTCTAATCATGAATGACACTGTTAAAACTTTAGAATGAATAGGGATTACCTGGGGCTATTGTTACAAATCGAATTCCTGGGTCCTAGCGTCACAGATTCTAATTTACAGTAGCAGTTAGGCCGGGTGTGGTGGCTCACGCCTGTAATCCAAGCACTTTGGAGGCCAATGTGGGCAGATCATGTGAGGTCAGGAGCTCAAGACCAGCCTGACCAACATGGTGAAACTCCGTCTTT